GTTCGATCCTGGTTAGAGATGGGCACAAAGCACAAAAATGGTGGTTCATAGCGAACCATCCAAAACCTAAAACAAAATATTTTTTTTAAAGAGAACCATGAACCAATTCATTTTAAAAAAAGATTGTGTCTGGGGGGAGGGGAAACTAAATCACCCACACACACAGCCTGCCCCCTTCCCCTGTCACCTCCCTACCTGGTTCTACCACAGTCTCTTCTTCCTCCACCACTGCCAATGGGCGATCCGGTGCCATGCGGCCCTGATCTGGCACCCCATGGTGCTGCATTGCCAATTTGCAGCCCCACAGCCTGCCCCCTTCCCCCTGCCCCCATCACCTCCCTACCTGGTCCTGTCGTCTCCTCCTCTTCCACCTCCTCCTCTGCCGCCGACACCACCACTGCTGTCATTTTACGAGACAGCCACTGAGTTTCCCTTCCAGAAGCCGGGCCTGCTGTCTCTGCGCACGTGGGCATAGACTGTTGGCTGATCGGCCAAGGCCTGCACAGAGACAGAAGGCCCAGTTCCCGGAAGGGAAGCCAGGCCTGCTCTTTCTCAAGATGGTGGTAGGGGTGGAGGACAAAGATGAAGGGGCAACAGGACCACGTAGGGAGGCGAAGGGAGCACGGGGTTTGTGCGGGGAGCACGGTGTGTGTGTGTGTGTGTGTGTGTGTGTGTGTGTCAAAATAATTAGTAGTTCAGGTTTGTGGATTTTCACCAACCCTAACTCCGACCAGGCCTAACCTGACTAATCACTTTTAAACTATCCTTTTCTTCTAGTAGGCTTGTCTTATGCCCAGATTATAAGAGCCAAAGCAGTTTTAAAATTTAAACATAAAAATAAGATCTTTATTGAAAAATGACAACTATTAAACTCCACAGACTTTAGCTTGAGGTTACATTAATCAGACATGCCAGCTTTTGCACAGATCTTATTCTCCCTAATACAAAGCATTTCTATTTATACAGTCCATTCTAAAATCCAGCTTCCCTCCCTGGGAAAACAAGACAACCCTTTCCTTCTTCTCCTTGATTGGTTGGCTTCTTGCCTTCTCTCATGCAATAAGCTCCTTTCCGATGTTGCCAAGTAGTTTTGGAGAGGCTTCTGTCACATGAACCAACATGAACCAATGAACCAGTAATTATTAACGAACTTCCTGGTTCGTTTTTTAGTTTGTGCCCATCTCTAATCCTAGTTTTAAAATTCATTTTAAAGTCATGTGTTAATCTATTTTTAGACTGTGTTGTATATCAGTTAAAGGGGCTATACAGACTAATATGCTGATGATACCTAGCTCTACATTGCCTTTCTTCCATTTGCAGTGGATGCCGTTCCATCCCTTGAGCGCTGCTTGGAGGCTGTCCTACAATAGATGCAGCCAAGTGGACTGAGGTTGAACTCGGACAAGGCGGAGGTCTTGCGGGTGGGCTCCCCCAATGTCAGTGGTTTGGGGAACACCCTCTCCTTTTTTAGGGGGGTGACTCTCACTACAAAGATGCAGTTTGCAGTCTGGGGCTCCATCTTGACTCGGTGCTCACCATAGAGTCATAGGTATCATCCGTGGTTCAGTCCGCTCACCTCTCTGGCGGATCACCCAGCTGCATCCCTATCTAGATGCAGGGGCAGTCACCACGTTGGTCCATGCGCTCATAGTGTTAAGAATAGACTACTGTAATCCTCTTTACATGGGGCTTCCTTTGAGATTGATGCAGAAGCTCCAGATGGCCCAGAACACAGCGGTCAGGCTATTAACAGGGGTGAAAAAATTCCACCATATATCACCCACCCTGACCGCCCTACACTGGTTACCTATTCACTTCCGCGTCAATTTCAAGGTGTTGACTATTACATACAAAGCCCTAAATGGTTTAGGCCCTCGATAATTGGCAGAGTGCCTTCTTCCACCTAGTTCTGCCTGTATCACCCGTTCCAGTCAGGTTGGGCAGCTGAGGGACCTAACACCAAGAGAGGTCCAAAGGGAAAAAAACAAAAACGGGCCTTCTCGGCAGTGGCCCCTTGTCTCTGGAACAATTTACCTGCAGAGATCCGCCTGGCCCCCTCGCTGAGGGCTTTTAAGATCAATGTGAAGACATGGCTATACAGACAGGCCTTCCCTACAGCCATCACCTATTTCTCTTTTTCTTTTTCCACCTTGGATTCTGCTCTTAAATTGGGTTGTATCTTTAGTTCCTTAATACCTTCTTATTTTATTTTTATATTTTGTGTAAACCACCCAGAGTAGACACGTTCTAGATGGGTGGTATATAAGTTAAATGAATGAATGAATGAATGAATGAATGAAATAAATAAATTTTAGAGTCATTACATTTGAGGCTTTGTCCTGCACTTACCCACCCTTGTGCTGGCTACCTCTCACAGCCATTAGCTGCTGCTGCCCTGGTGTTATTTTTAATTTTAAAAATAATTTTAGTCTGACATAGCAGTAGTGCAGAATGACACAGAGAAAAAAGAAAACACAGGTTTTAGGGGGACGTGCGTGCACACACACACACACACACACACACACAAAGTGAGAAGGGAAACACAGATGCAAGCACAGGGGGTGGAAAGGGAGCATGGAAGTGAGTGGCAAACCCCACAGACACAATTTACACTGACAAGGGCATTTAAATATGCCAAAACAATTGAAAATAAATGAGTTCCATAAGCAATTCAAAACAAACAATCCTCTCACAGCTGAATAAAATTCCTCAGTTTCCAACCAAAAAACATGCTTTCCAAAAACAAAACAGCAACAAAAATACCTGTGCTTCCATATGTATTGCGTAGTCACCTTTTTAAACACTGATTTTAAACCTGCTTAAACCTGATTCAGATACCTGGTTTTGTTTTGCTTTTGTATGTAGCTACACTCATAATCAAGCTGAGTGGCATTGATCTCACTCATCTTTGAAAAATATTACAAAAGCTAAAATGAGTCTTACAGAGATGCTTCAAGACTCATGTTCCAACCCAGTAGACATTAATTTAAAAAGTTACACTTTTTGTAGCTTCTTGTGATTTACATTTTATTCACCTTTTCCCTTGGCAGATAAAATTAAAAATTCTACTTCAATTTTAAATTCCCTATACAGTATTGCAAATGCAAATGTGCAGCCTTCTCTTCATTCTGTGTCATCCATTCCATTAAGGCTTGTCACTGGGGTGCATTACTACTGATTTTTTTAGATTAGGAAGCTCTAAACTACCCTTTTATTTACTTGAGGAGACAGTTTTCATTTGTATTCTCAGTCTCTCATCACTTGAGCTGGATTTTTACTAGCATCTATCATTATTTGAATTGTAAATCCATGATTGAAACAGTATCTTGGGAATCATACTCATTTAAATTATGGAAATCATGCCCCTCCATTTCTAGAAGGACAGACATCTTAGTCTGTTGCAGCACAAAAAACAGCCGAACGCCTTATGGCACCATAAAATACTGACAAATTTAGTATGGTACAGCCAGCCTCTCCCCACCACGCCTGGCTCCCCAGCCATTGCAGAGTGAGAGCAATACACATGTGGTCTGCACGTGGCTCTGAAGTCCTTTTTTGTGGTCTCCCTCCAAACCTCCCCCCAATTAAAAAAAGAAAATATTGTTGATGCAATTCTCCCCCCCAAACAAAAAAGGGAGTGGAGGATGCGCGCGCGGGGGGGAGGAATAATGCTTCTAGTCGGAACAACTTCCCTCTGAAACAAGGTGTCTTGTTTTAAGCACACTTGACATGAAAGAAAACACCCAGAGGCTTCAGGGGGGGGGGTTTGTTGTTGCCCAGGAAGATGCTGGGGCTGAAACAACAAATCCCAGGCTCCTTCAACAGTGCTCATCCTGATGCTCTCCAGATGTTGACTGGGAATAATGGAGCTGTAGTTTGACACATCTGGAGGCTAGCATACGATTTCGTGAACCAGAACCCGTTTCTTCTCATGTCCGCAGCGTTTACACTGTGTTGTTGGCAACGGTAGTGAATGTAAGCTGTGAGGTCAGATGTAAATGAAATTAAAAAATAAAATATTAAAAGTTCTAAACGAACAGACACCACAGAATGGGAGGATTATGGCAGAGCTATGCACGAGAAGCATACTTTTGTTGTGGTCTCTTTATAGTACTCTCTACCTGAGATAGAGGTTCCACTTAAGCCACTTCAAAAACAAGTAACCACCGAGGGAGCTATCTGGGTATCGACTTTGTGGCTGAAAAAAGGAAACCTTATGATTCTATGGAGTCAAGATCAAACTAGGTGATGAATTTAGCCTGCATTTAGAAACCGTGTCTCTCAAGGGGTGAAAAAATGTCTCCGTGTCATCACATGAGTTTCTCCCTACCCTGTATCTTGTATTTAGCTATGCTTTATAAATGGTCAGTTCAAGGTAAATACGAGCTTACGGTACTTTACAAGTAAGTTTGATTGCTGAGGCATGCATCTCTAAGGAAATGCATCACCGGGGATGGGTTAAATGGGAAAGGGCTCGTGGGTAAAGATCTGGTCCCCTGACTTGTACAGGTGGAATCACTTTCCAGCGAAGCCCTCAACTTCAGGTGGCTTGTGTGCGTCTCCTCTTCTCTTGCCTCCCTCCACTCTTCACCTAATGGGTTTACATTCCTTCCTCTCTTTTACCAGCAGGAGAAAAGAAGCAGAGACTGGAAAAATAATTTTCTCTCTTTTTGGATTACCACTCTCAGAGATCACACTTGCTGGACGTTTCTGAAACTTCTGATCCCACACCCCCAAAGTAACTTTCAAGCTCTGAGAAAGAGCAATTGATGTGAAATTGGCAGGAAAATAAAGAGGGAAGGGATTCAGAGATGGCAGGATTTGTCCACATACTCTTAAAGAACCTGCAGATACTACTGGGATAAAGCAAAAGCCCATGAGATACTGTACAATACTTTGTATTACCTAGGAGAATTAGCCCATTGTCTGTAAAAGTGCTGTTGGTTTCCATTCCTTTATACTCACTCGTTGGTTGTTGTCTCCCCCCCATCCCTTTACAGGCTTGTTAATTGGTTCTGGATGTGCTCTGTATCCTTTGGGCTGGGACAGTGAAGAAGTCCAGCAGACCTGTGGCAACATTTCCAACCAGTTTGAACTGGGTGAGTATGGTTTCCCATTATGGCCAAAATGATTTTCAGGCATTCATAGCACGAACACAATGCAAACAGAGATCAAGAATGACTGGTGCAGAATTCAAAGCTTCTGGAATGACCTTATACAGAAGATGCCAAGCAGACACCATAGCCCATTATCTAATGGAAAGCATCCATAAATCTCTCCTGCTTCTATCCTTTGCACTGTTTTAACATGACCTTGTAATATGAATGCTGAGAACGCCTTAAATGATATATACCTGCTCTGCCAGACAAATGTGACAGCTATCCAAACACTTCTGCAGGTCCTATTCATAAAAAAAAGAAAGACCATGAAGGCGAGCCCTCCACACACGCACAGCCCACTACTTTTATGGACTACAGCTCTCAGGATCCCCTCAGATTCTGAGAGTTGGGGGATTCTGGGATTGTAGTCCAAAAAAGGCAACTCCACTATGCTGTCCTGCCTCATATATAAGAAGGTGGGGAAAAAAATGCCCCAACTTATGGCCAAGTTTGGTTCCACGTTCCTTATTACATGAAAAGATGCAAGTATGGCCGACATCAGGCAAATGACATTTGAACAATTTAAACAGCCCACTACTTTTATGGACTACAGCTCTCAGGATCCCCTCAGATTCTGAGAGTTGGGGGATTCTGGGAATTGTAGTCCAAAAAAGGCAAGTCCACTATGCTGTCCTGCCTCATACATAAGGTGGAAAAAAATGCCCCAACTTATGGCCAAGTTTGGTTCCACGTTCCTTATTACATGAAAAGATGCAAGTATGGCCGACATCAGGCAAATGACATTTGAACAATTTAAAAATAATTTTAAAAAAACAAGTTGTATTTTTCCATTGGAAAGAAAATATAGTTGAAGGAGACCTCTTCTGATAACATTGTCTTTTGTCTGTTGTTCTCTTCACCTACAGGTACCTGTGAAATTGGATGGGCTTATTACTGTACTGGTGGAGGAGCTGCTGCAGCCATGCTGATCCTCTCTCATTGAAAACCAAATTAAGTTTGCATAGGTTTCAGGAGGTGGGCTAACAATTGCAAGCATTTAAAACAGTCTTCAAACAGTTTAAGACACTTTTACAGGAGCGAAAAAGGGACATCATTAAGTGAAATTCCCCCATAGAGACCATCGTTAAACGATGGGGGAAATTCCTCAAAGAAACCCATCGCTGTGTGAATTCATCGTTGCATGAAGCAATTGTTGTGCGAGGCACCACTGTACATGAAAAGGTGCAAGTATGGCCTACATCAGGCAAATGACATTTGAACAATTTAAAAATAATTTTAAAAAAACAAGTTGTATTTTTCCATTGGAAAGAAAATATAGTTGAAGGAGACCTCTTCTGATAACATTGTCTTTTGTCTGTTGTTCTCTTCACCTACAGGTACCTGTGAAATTGGATGGGCTTATTACTGTACTGGTGGAGGAGCTGCTGCAGCCATGCTGATCTGCACTTGGCTGGCCTGTTTCTCTGGCAAGAAACAAAAACAATATCCTTACTGAGGCCAGAAGGAGGCAGAACAAAAGGAAAATCGGTTTAGAGAGGGAGAAAGAGAAGGGAAAAATTAAAAAAAGAAAAGGAGTATGCAAACTTTTGTTGGAAGGAGAGTGCATTAGCTCTTCACTGTAGCCAGGTCAATACAAACGAGAGTCAATAATATTGGAATGGATGTGTGACACTGTGAATTGTGAGGTATTCTCTGTATCTCTGGGGTATTAAACTACATGGGACTTTGGCTCCCGATACATTATTTGTAGCCTATTCTGGTATAGTAGAACTACAGGAAGCCTCCTCCATCTCAGGGGGAAACACTATGGAGTTTTTAGCAGAAAGGGTTAAAAAACATACATGGGGGGGACAAGGGTTTAGCTTTATAAAGAATTCTTCCACATATTAGCAAATCTGAGGTAAAGAGGGCATTTCTTAGCAGTTTTGCTGCTCACTTAGATGTGAGTATGCAGTGGGTTTCCAGAAGTGGTCACTTCAACACAGCTGGAGCAGCTGCTACTTGACTTTGTGTGTGTGTTTGTGTGCGTGTGTGTGTATGCGTGTGTGTGGAGAGTACCGATTTTCAGGCCTTAAAAGTTTTTGCCTTGAAACTCAAAGAGTTCAGAGGCTTCCCCAACCTGATGTGTTGGGCTCCCATTTGATGTTCAGATTTGGAATTAAACTTAGTATGAAAAGAGACTCTTTCTGAATGAGACTCCTGAAAGCACATCTGCCTACCTTTGCACAGACACTTTGCCTTCATACACACATAACAAATGGAAGCCTCGCGTATTAATTTTACGAAAAAAAGAGAAGCCTTCAGTTTGTCCAGTCCGTCTTCTGTGTGCCACAGAGCAGCTGGAATAGAGTTTACAGTGGAAGGCGCTGTTACTCAGGCATATGGCAAGAGCTGACATAACCTTTTCACCTTCATCTAAAAAAGCACAGGCAACCACATCAAATCCTCGCTCTCTTTGTAGAAATATATAGCAACTCACCCTTCTCCTTCCTCATACATGCAGCCATGCCACATATTCCAAATATGCATAGCACAAGGGTATTCTCTCTCTCTCTCTCTCTCTCTCTCTCTTTGATATGAAGAGCCATCTATTGACAGGTAATTGGAAGTGGCAAAACATGGAAGGTGAGGAAAAAGTTCCCACCCACCCCCATAATATTCCTAAGTGAAGCACATTTTCATGTCAAGAAAGGGTTGTTATTAAGCTATGTTTACAGACCTTGAAATTTAAGGCATAATGGTGACCTGGCCTAAGTCTTCCTGCATTGTTTCATGCACAACACCCGCTTTCTTCCATCATGTTAATATACCCATGTAGCCCTTTTCTCAACCAGTGCATGCACACGTCTCCACCTTCATTTTGGATGGGGGAAAAAATCACTTTCAAATCTCATTTTTTTTACAAGCGTCTCTTCTCCGTTGATACGAGCTGTCCCTTTTCTCTGCTCGCTCCACAGAGAAGGAACCAAGCGACACCGAGGCCCTCCTTTCCCCTTCCTTTTCTTCACAGGGTGGCTTCAAAGGGTGGAAGGGGCCGAAAGTCACTTCCCCAGGCGCCATGCGCTGCTCTTGCGTGAGGGGGAAATGTGCGTTGCTGCTTCTGCAAGGCCTACTTTCTCCTGAGGATGGAGCTCAGGCATTTGTCACTTTCATACACCACCAAGAGGTAGCAACAAAGGACGTGTCATTCCTCTTTACTCGGTCTGTCAGTTTGTTTGAGACCACTACGCGCTTGTTTATTCCATCGCTGCTTCGGGTGTTAGCCACTTACACAAAAGTACTGTGGAAAAGAGCAGTTGCATTGAATCGTTTATGCACTTCATAGCTTCCCCCCCCCACTAATTATTTTATTTGAATTTCAGTATTATACCGCAACCTAATGGACTAATGGGCCATTTTTTTTCAGTATTTTATATAATCCATGTACACATTTTCTCAAGTTTTATTAACGGCCCTTTCAGGCCTATATAAATGTTATTAACCTCAACATTTTCAAGATTGATACAAAAATGCAATATTTTATTCAGCGTATGTAGCCTTTTAGATAGAGCGTTCCCACAAAGGGCAATGAGAGGACAAGTTTGTCCAGTGAGAATTGTGTGAGTGATGCAATAGGGTAATACTACTTATGCAAGAGCAATGACAGACATCTTCCAAGTTTTGAAACTAATACTGTTAGTTAATTATTGTTGTATTGTGCTGTATTGTTTATTTTACTATTCTTCTTTGTAATGTAATATAAAATGTACTATTTTGTTTGTATTTTAGAATCAGTGTAAATAAATGTCTTAGCTAAGTAACTGAGTGGTATTCTGAATCTTTTCTCTCCCTACGGATCTAGCTCTCCAGGTGTTTTCACCCTACAGTTCCCACCAGAACCAGCCAGCAATGGGCAGTGGCAAGGAACTGTGGATGTTGTAGTTGAGAACATCTGGAGAGCCTAATATCCCCCACTCCTGGCCTGTGGTTTTATGATTCTCCTAATGGCCAGCAGGATGGCTGCTAGCTGGGAGCGTTTGCTGAGGAGGTGAATAAAGTGGCACCTAATAACCTGCATTCCTGCAGAAAAAGATAAAGAGACAGAAAAACCCTGGCAGATACTACGGGCAAAGCTCACGTGTGCTTTCTGACCTCATGCCTTCTGAAACTCACAGCAACAGAGGTGAGGATGCAGGCAGGATTCCTTGCCGATGTAGCATGGAAGCAAGGGTCAGAAAATGTTGTGAGGCCTGACACATCCTTTTGCATTGCCAAGATGGTGGGAAGAAGAAGAAAATGGGCTCAGCAAAGACCTTTGAACTCCCCTGCAGGAGTCAAATGAATGACTATTCTTTTCCAGACAGAGTAGTTGTATCTTTTCAATTTCAATCTGCTTTAGGTAAACTCTAACTTGAGCCACTGACATCTCCAAATAAGTGCCCTTGTTTGAGCAATTTCCATTTATTTGTTTCATGTGTATCCCACCTTTCTCCCTAGACGGAATGAGGTAGTTAGAGATGCCATAGGACACATACTTTGGGGGAAAAGTCGGATGTAGAGCCACACTGGTCTGATGCAGCAAGAACAACAGAGGCTTATACTGACACAAAAGCTTGACAAATTTATTGTGACACAGACGCCTGTAGAGGTTGTTCCAGCTTCTGAGGCAGGGTTTTCCTTAGTAGTTTTGCAGCACTAAATTTGTATTACAAATAATAAAACATCCAGCGAAGTGTCAGGAGGGGGGAAATAGTATTTTTCATAAAATGTATGTGTACAAGGGTGGAAATGCAAACGTTCCTACTGCAAAATCCTAGTAGCTGTAGTTACAGCCTTTGACTAGGGATCTGTAAGCATAAACCCAAATTTCTTTTTGTGATTCTCCAAAGTGCCTGGAGCCAGAGCAGCCTGTAAATTCCATAACAGTGTACAAGAACTCCCGTAAAAGATGAGCACAATACAATGAAAGATAAATACTGTACAACAGAAAACTTCAGATCACTGAGTGAAAAAGAAATTTCAATCTGCATTCAAAATGACGGAAGTGAGAAGCAGCACTTACCTCTGGAATAAACTCCAGAATGCTGGGATTACTAATGAAAAGGCCTGTTTCTCTCTGAAGCTAATTTAATGTACCTTAAATCCTTTCCCGCAAGTCTGGTCTAAAAAGTTCCCTCCTGTACTTCTTGTATTTAGCAAGTACAGACACCTGGGCTTTGTAGTCCCTTAAGACTCACTAAAGCTCAGAGAAATAGGACTCTATTAGAAGCAAACTCATGGCCTTGCCACCACCGCCCCCAGAAGCAGGTTCAAAGTATCTCAGGGTATTTAAGATTTGCAGGCAGGAGACGATGTTCCCAGAGATTAATCAGAACTCTGGCAATAGAACAGAATCGATCGTGCCACCTTTTACATATGAACCAGACCAGTCTGTCAGTGGCCGTTCAAAAAAGTGAATCAGTAAATTTACTTGGCTGGATGTAAAGCAGCTATAGATAAAAAGTAAAAAGACCACTTCTGATGGATTGACCTTTGGAGCTGTTTTAAACAAGCACTCTGGGCAAGTCATCTGTTTAGGCATGTCAAAATAAACATCGCTGAGAGATCCATTAAACCACAGTCTATAACATCCAGAGAACACCTTAAAACGGCGAACAGTTAGGTCCCTGAGAGAGGCACAGAATACAAAACAAGCGCATACCTCAGGTTACCAAACCTAATTCAAGAGTTCCAGTGTTACAGAACTGAGGACCATCCAAAGGAAGAGAGAGGAGCCAGAAGTTTCCTGTGAAGCTGCAAAGGCACATATTTCTGCACCTGCTGGGCTCCAATTTCTGCTACATAAACTGCTCCTGTTTCCTTGCTGACATCCAGAAGATGAGGCTTGACTTCATGTGCAAGTTGAATTGTGTCCACCACTATGCAATCCCCAACTGATCCAACTGGTGGGGCAGCCAAAATTGATATCCTATCAGTATTCAGATGGGCTACAATGATAAACTTCTCATCAGGGGTAAATCTATCAGTGAAAGGGGGAAAAAAGGAGGCTATTAAAAGGAATAGGAACTGGACAGTTCTCTCTGGATCGAAATATCCCACGATATAAGGGCACCCACTTCTACTCACACAGAGCTAGTGGCCATCTTTTGTTCATTTGCACCTGAAAGCTGCTGTACTACTGAGAAGCCCTAGTGGATGGGCCCTCCAGATTTGCTGCCCCTGTGTGGACAGTTCCTGGGAGAAAGCTTGTGTTTACAGAGGAGCGGAAATTACCGTATTTTTTTGCTCCATAAGACGCAATTCCCCCCCCCAAAAAAGGGAGGGAGTCTGCGTCTTATGGAGCGAAGGCAGAAAAAAGGGGGGGAGTCCGAGTGAGCCTTCGAGGACCCTTGCGCCGCTCCCCCCACGGGGCCAGCGCTGGTGAAATCGCCACCTTCTGGGAGTCTTCTGAAGCTTCCCAAGCCTCAAAAGAGTCCCAGAAGGTGGCGATTTCGCCCTCTCTGGCCCGGCAGGGGGGGCTTGGTGAGCCTCCAAAGGGTCCTAGGGGGTGTTCCAGGACCCTTTAGAGACTCCCCCTGCCCCCCCGCGTGGTCAGAGGGGGCAAAATCGCCACCTTCTGGGAGTCTTCTGAAGCTTCCCAAGCCTCAAAAGAGTCCCAGAAGGTGGCGATTTCGCCCTCTCTGGCCCGGCAGGGGGGGCTTGGTGAGCCTCCAAAGGGTCCTAGGGTGTGTTCCATAAGACGGACCTCTCCATAAGGCTCACCAGTTTTTAGGAGAAGAAAACAGATTATTTTTTTCCTGTTTTCTTCTAAAAATTTGGCGCGTCTTATGGAGAGAAAAATACGGTAAGCTCCCTTCTCCAACAAACAATGGATCCATGTCTTCAGCTCAACCGTCTTGGTTTCCTTGTCGTGACTTTAGCGGATTTCTCTGAAAACTACCATAAAATGTTCCACCCAGCAACCCAATCTGACAGAGTAACATTTTAAGGGCAAGTTAACTCAATAAACAGATATGACCCACTAAAATATTTAATTATTCAGATTAGATTAATTACTAGCTATTTCCAAAATAAATATAGAACATAAAAAGTCTGCCGATCTGTCAACTTATACCCCTGAAGTATATTAATTACAACAACACAAATATGTTGGTGGGGACGCTAGATGAGTTGTTCTCACTTTGGAGCCAAGCATATTACTAGTATGAAAAGTTAATATACTGTGGAACCACGATATCCACGGGGAATCAGTTCCACACACCCCTCCTGAGCAGATGCTGAAAAATGTTGAAATAGCAAGTGCAACACATCACATGGTCTCTGGTTCCCTCTAGTGGCCCGTTGTGGTAAATACACTACACAGTTTTTATTTAATATTTTCAGGCAGCAGATAAGTGAATTCACAGATACTAATCTCCCAGATGGGATGGAGGGGGTTCTACCTTATATGTTACATGGAACCACACATTAACATGCTATGAAACAAGCAAGGCTGATCTAGCATAGCTATTTTAAAGTAAGTGAGACCAAACACGGACCAAACACTGCTCTACCTGAAGGCCTAGCTGAGCAGGTTAAGAACTTGGGCTTGACATAAAGGTAGCTTTCAGTCTGGGTGAACTAAGCTACTTTTGTTTGCATTAAAATACAGACATCATGCTGGTCATAACTACTATTTAATCCCAGGCAGAGGCTGGCATACGGATGCTTGTCAGATACTGACAAGCTGGAATTGGTAGTGACATAAAAAAGGGTCATGCAAAGCTAGTTGAGCTCAGCAGGAAAACATGGAAAAGGAGGGGGAAGAGTGTGCTGAATGGGGCAGAGAAATATATACAAGGATAACAGGCAGAGTTTACCATCTTGTACATCAACTTTGGACAGATTTTTCCGCTTTCACTAAGATGCTGATGCAAGAAGAAGAAGAAGAAGAAGAAGAAGAAGAAGAAGAAGAAGAGGAAGAGGAAGAAGAAGAAGAAGAAGAAGAAGAAGAAGAAGAAGAAGAAGAAGAAGAGGAAGAAGAAGAAGAAGAAGAAGAAGAAGAAGAAGCAGCAGCAGCAGCAGCAGCAACAGCAGCAGCAGCTTGTCCTCAAGTTAATTCCAATTTACGGCAACCCTTTCCAGTGTTTTCTAGACAAAGTACTCGGAAGGGAATTACCATTCCTTTTTTTGCTCGTAAGAGTTCCTAGGATCACCTTTCTTATCAAAAGTGTACTTCTCTAATCAATACTATCTTTTTTATTTTCTTAGAAAGAAGTGCAGATGTGATTCCTTTACAAGTGAGGAAGTACGCTCAGGTAATCTAAGGGCTTAATCCTCATTGCTGCTGTGCCTGCCGTGTCCTTATTTGGAAAGCACCTCAGGACTGCTCTCACCTGACAACTGGAGGTCCAATCATCCCCTTAATTACTGGAGGTATCAAATGAGATTGAAGAGTTATTGAAGTTCAGCAGTTACATGGCCTTCTTGGACTGGAGCTTCTGAGCGACAGAAATATATTGCAAGGGAACCTGGCAGGCAATTCATTCATATACCCACCAATGCATAAGATCTGCACTCAATAAAACTGAATTACACTGTTCCCTTTTTGTGACCTATTCTTGAGTACACAATGGGGTAAACCCTGCACAACCGTCACTGCTGCTAGTGTCAGATGCTTACACAACCACAGGGGCCAAATGAAATCTGGCCCCAGCTCCCTCTCCTGCCACTTCTGCACACCTCCACATGCAAATGTATAGATACTATACCGGACAGAATAAGGGGCATCTTCTGTGAAGCAGCTACTCCATGAGCCCAACCATTCTCCGGTGATTTTGTCAAAAACCTGGATTCGCCAGTTGGCTCGGTCAGCAACCCACACCTAGGGCACACGGAGAAACTGATATAAGCCATTAAAGCAAAATAAAAAAGCACAACAAACCTCCACATATGAGATGAAATCCAACCAAATAGAGAGTAAAATATTCCAGCTCTGAGCCACATACTGTATCACACCTCATTACTGACCTCTGTGTAAGCAAGAATTAATCCTTTCTTTTTGTCAACCAAGAACATACAAACTTTCTCTTTGCCTGGACATTTTAAACTCTATCAATTGTACAAAGACATTAGAATTTCCAGGTGTTGCCTTTTATCATGTATGATATTACTATGTTTTTATGAAGTTCAGAATTTATATCTGGAATTCAGATAATGCAAGTTATCTCCATCTTTGCTGTCATTCTGTAAGCAGGCAAAAATATTTTCTCTTCAGCCAGGCATTTCCGTAGTGACTGGCTGTCTGAATGGTTTTTTTTTAATGGATTGTTGTGCCTTGTTGCTTTGAATGTGTTTTTCTTGTTGATTTTGTTTACAGTTTGACTCTTTTTAAATATTTTTAAATATTTGTATACTCACTGTTTTTAGTTTTAAATATTGGTTTTATTGATGAAAGCTGCCTTGGGTTCTTTTTAAGGAGAAAGGCAGGGTAAACATATTTTGAATGAATGAATGAATGAATGAATAAACGAATAAACGAACAAACAAACAAACAAACAAACAAACAAACAAACAAATAAATAAATAAGCATATAAAGTTGGTTCTCTTCTGCTCAGTCCTGATTTCTATAAAGATGGTTCTCTTCTGCTCAGTCCTGATTTCTAACCTGCCTGGCTAACACGTCCATCTTCTTCAACTCAGTGTACCCCAAACTGAACTGCTTCTTCTCTTTAATTCTTCCCAGCGGACATCCTCGGCTCCCATCCAGCAAAGCCGCAGCCTTCATTGTATTTTCAGTTCCTTTCTCTCTCCTTTCCTTCCCCTGCTTCAAGCCAACATCGAATTACATTGTTCCTCATTACAAAATAAGAAGACATGGAGCTCTTCTGGGTAAAAACTTTAGCTCATGCTAGGGTCATCTTCTGTCCTTCCTACTACAGTCTTCTCTTCCCTTCATGCCATGATTATTCTCCTAGTCCACTTGGACCGTGTAAGAGTTCTGCTTCAACACGAGTCATCTTCTGTCCTTCCTACTACATTCTTCTCTTCCTCTCATGTTCCGATTATTCTCCTCCTAGTCCGCTTGGACCGTGTAAGAGTTCTGCTTCAACACGTTCATTGGTTTCCCCATTTCCTCTGCACTCACAATAAACTACAGTGCCCACAACCTTGCCCCATCACCTCTCCCCCTTCCAAGGTTTGGTTTCTCTAGTACTGCCACCTTCAGTCTGGCCTCCTGTGGTAGTTCCAGAATCTGGGAGCCACAACAAAGAAGGCCCTCTCTTGGGTCCCCATCAGATGCACCTGTGAGAGTGATGGGACCAAGAGAAAAGGCCTCCCTGGATGATCTTAAAGCCCAGGCAGGCTCATAAAAGGAGATCCGTTTCTTGAGATAGCTCAGACCCAAACCATTTAGGGCTTTATAGATTAAAACCAGCACTCTGAATTGTGCCCAGGAAACAAACAGAGCTATTGTAATGGGGGGTTACGTGATCCTTGTAACCAGCCCCCCCCCCGTTAACAATCTGACTGCCCGGTTGCACCCTCTAGTGACCTATTTTAACTTTTTTGTTAAACGGGGAGGGGCTAGGAGCATTGGAGGTTTCTCAAACCATAGAAGACTTGCCCCCCACAGAGAGCACAACCATCAAAGCCAATTAAAAGAAAAAGGTAGGGACCTACTGAGGGCCCCAGGGCACTAAGGACTACATTTGGGCCCCTCGAGCTCCCACAGCCTGCAGGTAACATGTGGCTCACCCCAGTGCATCATGGGGCAGAAGGTGAGGGGAGATACCCCAGTTCAAAGGCGACGCAAACCCTACAGCAAGCCTACAACTAGAGATGGGCATGAACTCCCAGTCTGGCAGTTTGTTTACTGGTCAAAGAGGTGTCTGGTGCTTCCCAGCCCTGACTCCTCCGATGGGCGCCCACACTCAGAGGGAACACCCAGAGGAGGAGGGGCAGGGAACCCAGGGAGCAGCCTCAGATTGGCCACCTGCCAGAGGAGGTAAGGGAGAGAACTGTGGAACACCCAGTAAACAAAACTGGCCCGAACTGCCGAACCATGCCCATCTCTACCTACAACCATCCGGGATTACTGGATGGACTGCAGGGGGAAAAAAACTAAAGCTCGACGCTTCCTTCAGATTTCCTCCACACTTCCGTGAAAGTTCCAAGGCGTTTTCCGGACAAATGGCTTCACGTGATCACGCGTCTCCCATTTCGCTGCAAGCACAAATTGCAACGCTGGCATCCCACACTACTGGAAGTACTGCCCTTGCCCCACATGTGCATCTTTTAGGCCCTGGAGTGGATATAGCACAGATTTTGCAAGACAGGGAGAGGAAGAGACTGTCATAATCACCCAGAGTCAGCATCTGAAAGTAAGCCCACACTTGCTATCTCTATTTTGGGAGGTGGTATTTCCCCCCCCCCCTTGTACAGAAAACTGTTAATTAGTGTTATAATATTTTAACACCAATATTTTTATTATTAACATAGTGTGATATCAGTGAAATGAGTGGTATAGTGTTATAACTCTATAATGCCATTTTTTTAAAAAAAGCAAGAGTTAGAAGACCCTTCCAGCCACAACCATCAAACATCCTGAGAAAAAGGTCAGAAAGGACACCCGCAAAATTAAAAAAGAAAACAACCATGATAGTGTTAAGACATTGCAACAGTCTTTACAATGCATTTCACCATTTTATTACCTGTCAAAAGAAGGACAGACAATATGTTTTAATATTAGTTAAATTATTGACTTTTTAAAAATGAGAAAACCGAAGATGACAAGGATTGGATGGCAGTATTCTGTGGATATATACTGTAGTATTAGGTCATGTAAAAAGGGACTGAATGAAACAAAGACTAAATGCCTAGAGTTAAAGGAAGTGAACTGAAAGCACGGAATTTGAACTTCAACGGAACACTTCAGGATGCTGATATAATGGGATATACAAGGCCCAAACCCTCACTGCTACGTTACCCGTCCAACAGAATCCACTGTTACACTGTGCGGAATCCTGAACTGCGTGATGGCAGTACCATTTTCCCCATGAAGCCATACAGTCTTCAAGTCTGTGGGTACAAGACAGTGAGTCAAACATCATGTATTGCTGAGTTTGTAACAAAATCCCTTGATTGCTCTGATTTTAGTGACTAAACTTTTCCCTTGAATTGCACGGGCTTGAGCAGCACGATTTTCGTTATACACGGATTATTTCCAATAAATCCATATTCAGTAAATAAACGGTCGATGCAATTGAAAAAATGTGCTGCTATTTGTCCCCAGGAAATGGCCTGACAAAAGTGGATCTCCAGATTAATGAGGCCCCTTCTGCTGGTGGTGAGGCAGTCCCCGGCCCGAGGCTGGGGAGGATGCTGGGGCATGCTATACAGTTAATACAATAAACTCATCTCTCTCTCTCTCTCTCTCTCTCTCTCTCTCTCTCTCTCTCTCTCTCTCTCTCTCTCTGTGTGTGTGTGTGTGTGTGTGTGTGTGTGTGTGTGAGAGAGAGAGAGAGAGAGAGAGAGAGAGAGAGAGAGAGAGAGAGAGAATCAATAGATTATGATTTGTAGTTATGTTTTGGGGGGCATAAGAGTTATTTATACTGTACATGGATTTCTGAACTACACGGGGGTCTGGCGCCCCAATCCTCAACACTGTTGAAGGGAGAAATATATTTTAAAACCAGTATACATTTAACATCAAGTTTTGACATATGTTCTGAAACTGGAAAAAATACTTATTCTGCATTTGGAGCCTGCAATTTAAATAGGCTGAGAGTTGTGTATTTTACATAGTAAAACAAAGCAGCTTCTGGACTGCAACACAGTTTTCATGAACAAAGAAGGTGATTTAGTGTTAGTGGAAAAATTATAATGTATCTGGGGCTATGAGGTTTCTTTTAACATATCAAATAATATTCCACCTTGCAAACATTAACCAACATTTTATATTTAGCTTTCTCTTCAGTAAGCACATATGCAAGATGTGGGCATAAACAACCCTCTAGGATTTTAGTAAGTATTCTGCTGTCACTGAAAGGCACACTTTATGTCTTCTCTTCAAGATGCACATGAAAGAGAAAGAAAACATGAAGAAACACCGAGGTACCACGTGGGCAGATGTATTGGAAGGACGGCTGCTGTCCCTTGTATCAAACTACCCGAGCACAGCTGGTGTCACAATCAATCATCCAATGCATCACAAACCTGTGGCAGCCTAAAAGACCCACCTACAGGCCACTGGCATTTTCTTGGCTCACCTTGCGTCACTTTGAACAGGCGGTTGTTTAGCCCTCCATCACCATCCACAATATAGATGTCTCCTGTTGGTTCCACAAACAATTCTGCTGGCTGGTCAAGTTGGAGGGGATTTATACCAGAACCCGCTTCGCCTGGAGTGCCTATGACCTGAAGGAGCTGACCTGAAGGACTGTACTGCTTAATGGTGTGCCCATCTTTGCCTACATTGACAAAACAACATCAGCAGGAGACTTCTCAGGAAGAACATATCTTGTTCCTAAGACTGTCATTTAAATAAGACCAGGTCTGTTTAAAACAGGGATGATCGATGTCTAAGGATACACCAGGCCCTTTAAATGTTTTTTTGAGGGGTCCCGGACCTGTTCAGGCCAAAGACCCCCCTTTTTTTAGGAACAAAAAGTGACTGGACTCAGGGGCTTGGGGACTACCTGTGGCCCACAGGCTCTAATTAGCCCCTCCCCAGTGTGGAAACTAGAAGAGTCACGGGGCCACATCTGGAATGGGCATGAAGAGCCATTATAATTTCCAGATATGGACGAAAACAGCACACTTTTTTTCACTTTCTGTTGCACTCGGTCTCCTGCTGTAAATCTCTGCTTGCGCTCTTCATTCTCAGCAAGAAACTCACTCCCTTCTCACTATAACCTCCATTCATATCAACTGCAAGATTTGCACAGAGGCAGAAAGGCAGCTTTGGGGATGATGGCCAACAGCTTGATCAGTCTCAATTTAGGAGCTCCTTTGGAAAACTCATGCATGCCACAGTACTTGGAAACGAAGCAATTTTTTTCCAAGTACAAAAAAGATCTGCCTATTCCTCTGTCACTGGTACCAATCTACCCATTAAGGGGGGAAAAACCCACTACATTACAGCAGTGTTACAAGCGCTTTCTTCTTCTACTCACCATAACAATACCGTACGCACTTGCGGTCTCTAAATTAAGGACTGGCTATTCTTTTCTCCCACTGAGGCTTACAAATTTAGAAGTGGTTTTCAGAATACAAACACAGGAGGTGGTTGATTGCCTTGTACCCAGATGCTTTGTATAGGCTGTGTCACTAGACACTCAGGATGGAATCCTATTTTAGTCCTAAAAGGAAGGGATCCCATGAAATGAATGAGACCTGTTTGTCGTGCCTTATATTAAGTCTCTCTATTTTTAGTGGGTCTACTGTACTTTGGACCACAACTGGATTAAGCCCTCACATTCACACCCTCATCCTCACTGAGCCCTGAAGCTCATTGGCTGCCCTTGAGACAGCCCCCTTTTCTCCGCTTGACCTACATCAGAGGCTTGTCGTAAGGCTAACACAATGAGGAATCACAGCTTTCCACTCACTAGAGAAAAGGTGGGGAGGGGGATGCCAATATATCTAATAATTCAACAATGGGATAAATAAAAGGACGTTATTGCCAGAAGGAACTGCAGCAGGTAAAGGCTCTGACAATCATCAAGGGTTTGATTATTTTCTCCTGTTTTGGGCCAACCTTCAATTCCATCATTCTTCAGAGAAAGCATCTGCTAGGAAGGGATGCCAATCAGGTGGGAGAAAGAAATAAAGCATTTTCCCTTAAAAAAAAGGGCACGCAGCCCATTGAGTCCTGGGAACAGAGGGATACTTTATTTATTTATTTATTTATTTGATTTATACCCCGACCATCTGGTCTAAAAGACCACTCTAGGCGGCTTCCAATATAGCAAAAACAGTGAAATAAAAAACACACACAATTACATAAATCATATTGTAATAAACAGAATACAACAATAGAATAGAAAATACATAAGGAGAGAATAAAGAAAAGTCAGATATTAACTGGAGGGTAATCTTACTTGGTTAAGATTCCATGAATTATGTCCATGGAAAAAGAACAGGATGTGTGGGACTGCTAGGTAGAGCAAGCTGGACAAGGTACAAACAGCCAATCATGTCTGGTTTTAGAAGCTAAGCAGAGTTAGTTCTGGTTTATGCTTAGGATAAACCAGATCCTTGGGAACACCAAGGATCTCCATGGAGTTTTAGAAAGTGATCCTGCATGAAACCCAGGAAACCACAGTTGCCAGACAATACTGGGCCAGATGGACCGACCAATGGCCTGAAAAAGCATGAGGCAGCTTCCTTAGTTTGCAAGCTCGTGGATTTCCACCATTTGCCTGATGGCTTTATGTGATGAAATCTGATTCATTATGCAGAGTTTTGTTTAAGTGGCTTTTTAAACAAATATTTTTTTCTGCGAAATGAAGTTGAAATATTAGTCGAAAAACTGACATGATGCCTTCAAAGGACCTGTTGTATTATCTGTTCTTAAAATATGTTTTGTGGAAATGTAGATTCTCAATGAAAACCCTATTTTATGCTACAGACGAACTGTTTTGTTCCATTCTTAATAAGCTTGTTACATACCAGTTCCAACATCAGTTATCCACACAGAACTTGCATTGGGTGTGTTCAGTGCAAAGATACCATGGGGCATTTCAACTGTAGTGTTCCATGCGTTTAAGAAATATCCAGCCTCCGAAAACACAACCACTTTGGGCACATTGTCATCACCTCGCTGAAAGTAAACAAATGTAATAAAAGAGAACCAGTCAGGTACTAGGGAGAAATCCTCAAGAATATTCCACTATACTTCCTTACTGGAGGGTTGGGGGGAAGGTAGCTTGTGATCTAGCAGTGGATCTCTTTGTGATCTGCAGTAGATGAGCAAGGATTCCTGACTGCCCACTGATGCACAATAGAAGCAACAAAATCCTTTGCTTTCATCTCCAATTATAGTGGTGCCTCACAAGACGAACGCCTCGCGGGATGAAAAACATGCAAGACGATTGTTTTTTGCGATCACTATGGTGCCTTGCAAGACAGCTTCTTCTATGGCCGTGCTTCGCAAGACGGGTGTTTTTTTCTTCTTAGAGAATGATGCCTCACAAGACGAAAATATTTCATTCATCTTGCGAGGTTCCCCATAGGAATGCATTGCAATGTATTCCTATGGGAAACTGCTTTTCGCAAGACAGTGCTACTCGCAGAACGAATTACATTCATCTTGTGAGGCACCACTATATACGGTTGAAATGTACAGCATGAAAGTAATTGCAAATAAAGTGACTTGTAATTAGCAAGTGTGAAGGCAAGAGGAGAAGGAGACGACAAAGGATGAGATGGCTGGACAGTGTTATCGAAGCTACCAACGTGAATTTGACCAAACTCTGGGAGGCAGTGGAAGACAGGAGGGCCTGGCATGCTCTGGTCCATGGGGTCACAAAGAGTCAAACATGACTTAACGACTAAACAACAACAATTTCCCCAATAATGATTGCAAAAATAAGATACAGTCTTGGTCATCCATTAGCTGCATTAGCTATGGTCAGTCATGCAAACCATGTGTATGTGATGTACTGTCAAGCTGCACCCAACATATAGGGCCTTAATGGGGTTTTTAAGGTAAGTGAGATATTTAAGGAATGGTTTTACTAGTGCCACTTTTCATGGCTGTGCAGGGATTAAAACCCAGGTCTCCTGAGTCCTAGTCCATCACTCTATGTACTATACCAAATGCTGTAGTGGAAACCATACGTAAACCATTATATTTTATTATATTGTATTTGTTTTTATACTAGTATTGATGTTTTGATTAATGGGTATGGTTAGATGTTTTGCTTATTGTTTTGTTTTGTTATAAACCACCCAGAGTGGTCTCTAGTGAGATGGGTGGTATATAAATAACATAACATAAAATTACTAATGAGATTCTGGCTAGTGAGATGGGCGGTATATAATTAGCATAACATAAAATTACTAATGAGATTCTGGCCATCTCATTAGTAATTTTACTAATGAGATTAGTAATTACTAATTAGAGATTAGAGAAATACTAATGAGATTCTTGGTAACTCCAAGTTCTGAATATAACTAAACAAGGGATAATTCCACTCTTTGCTGTATAATGTTAACTTAGTTAACTAAGGAACTATGTTCTCAATGAATGGTGCTAGGAGAGGAATATCATATGCTTCTAGTGCTAGCTTGTATTGTATTGCATTGCTTTTCAGATCTGCTGAAATGACGAAAGCTTGGAGTAACCATGGTTGGAATTTCTATACGGAACAAGTGTGATCTCTTTTCAGTCTTGTTACTTAAAATAAATTCTTCACCAAATTTTTTTTTCATTCTGTCTTTCTCATACACAAGGGTTCTGTAGGTGGATCTCAGGGTTCTAGTAGAAATCAACGCAAACAATGCAAACATGATATCTGTCCACCTCTTGTTTGTAGGATGAACAGCACATTCCCGTAACTCTTTTGAATCAGATCAAATATCATCCACACACACCGGGAACAAACAGGCCAACATCCAGTTACACTAATAAACGGTGCCTTATGACTGAGTTACACAAAAATATAATAAGCAAGCAGTTGATGGGCTTTAGGAGATGCTTCAAAGTCAAGTTTTACTGGAAAATAAAATAAAAAATAAATTGTATTTAAGTTATGCGCAAGTCAGTCTTACAGAGATTAGCCCTAGATTTTTGTTTTAGTCGTGCTTCAGAATATAATGCACTTTACTGGAACCAAGCTGGAAGAAACAGATAGGGAACTGTCTGGAACAGCCTACTTTATAATTCTTGCTTGTTTCAGACAAATCAGGAGCTGGAATTTAAGACATCACAATAAGGTGTTAACTTCACTCACTTATGTGAACAGAGGAGCAAAGTAGACACGAAGGGGCTCATGTGCATCAGCTCTCTGCTATTTCACAGTAAAACTCAGATAAGCCAGACATCAATGTAGTCCCTGTTTACCCAGCTAGTGTCGTGCTTATGTCCTTCCGAGAAGCTTTCACCATTCCATAAACACTTCCTTCTTATCAAGAACTCCTATATCTTCTGAAAGCCAAGGGTGGATGGCCTTTCACAGATTTCAAATGAGGGCTCCCACAAAGACTCCCCATTAGCGGTACAGATCAAGGCTGTAGTCCAAAATATAAGGGCCAAAGCTTCCCCACCTCCACCCAAAACAGAAGCTTACTTGTTAGTAGTGGAAGGAATGGAAGGAGGCTATGCCGACTTACACTTCCCAGAAAGATGCTCTCCCTTCCACAGCCTTTGTCTTAAATTTAGTGATCAAAAAGGAATCAAAGCCCCCAATAAAACATGACAGAAAATGTGGGTTTCCCAAACTTGAAGAATGAACCTTGTCCAATAATCTATGTGAGACTGGTTGCTGATTTTCAGCCATCAGGGCTAAAGAGCTGATGTCCCTTATCAAGAATGCTAGTGTAATGCCTTTCCTTACCTGACCCACGTAAACTAATCCATTGATGTGGTCAACAGCAACACAAAATGTTTGACCTGTCAGCTTCTCTGGAGATTTAGGCCAACTGATGTCAAGCTTGTAGAATGGTTTCCCAGTCCTCCAGAAGGAATAGACAGTCACTGGGTTTAAAACCTTAAAAACAAATTGTAGAAGCATCAGTCTCAAGTGGACTGGCACCAGAAGGCATTATTCTTTCAGGTATGCATTGCATTTACTGTATATCTCATGCTTCCTTCAAAGCAGCCTTCCCCAGCCACATGTCCTACCAATGTGTTCATCTGGAACTCCCATCATCCAGTAATAGCCAGCCTGGCTGGGGATGATAGCAGTTGTCATCCACCATATCTGGAGGGAACCAGGTTGGGGAGGGATCCTCTAAGGCAGTGGTTCCGAACCGTGGGTCTCCAGATGTTCTTGGACCAAAACTCTCAGAAGCCTTCACCATTAGCTGTGCTGGCCAGGAGTTCTGGGAGTTGTAGTCCCAGAACATGTGGGGACCCAAAGTTGGGAACCACTGCTCTAAGGATTATAAAAGTACTGTGTATATATATACCATATATACCATATATCCTCATTTGGTTCTTGTATCAACCATGTGAGGAAGATTAGGTACAAGACTGCAGTTGGTCCACTGTTTCATTAACTAAACTTAATGACTGAGAAATAATCTCCATTTGATTTCCTCAGTCCTCATCTAATTCTTCTACTAGTAATTATTATTAGCCAGGATAGCTAATGAGGTTTCCAACTTCAGAAGCACACTGAACACCGGCCACCAGAAGTACAAAATGGGGAGCTGGGATAAATGCAGTTGGCTTCAGTGTGTTCCCTTATCACAACAAACCAGGATTCTGGTTGGTCCTGGCTTGTCATGGAAGTAGCTCTTTTGATCGTACTGGTGTGAGTGCTAAAACTTCATGGAAATTGACCAGAATTAGAAAACTTTCTATGACATCTAATCTTAAATTTAGCCACACTTTGCAAATCAGGATCCACTATCATAATTTCTTCATCACTTCTGATTCGTATTTGGGAATAACAAATGAGTTCAGGCTAATTTACTCACAACCTGATGCTAATAGGAAGAGCCAAATAGGAACAAATGGTCCTCATGCATTGCAACATAGCTTGGTCACAGGTAGCCAGTGTTCACAAAATCATAGCTTGTGAAGGGCAAACATGTGTTCTTCAAACACTGGATACCACCACCTAGAAGACCATGTCTCGGGTTTCGTTCTCAGTTACCTTATATAACTTGGGAATGGGGGGGGGGAAGCAAATCCTGAAGCAAATATTCAGGTTCAGGAGAGAGGAAATGGTCAGGTATCTGGCTGTGGAAGTAGAGGTTGGGATTTCCCCACCCACCCCTACAAGGGTCTCCATTAATCAGAACTGACTTGATGGCACACAATGGTGAGATGTGAGAAATAAGATGGCCTAATTTACAGCAAATTATTTATTATTTCAGTTATAATGGAACTTCAAGGAGCCTAACATATTCTCTTCAAAATGGGGGGCTGGACAGTAAAGGGAAAAAGGCGGGTCAATGTTAGTAAGTGTAAAGTAATGCACAGAGGTGGTGGTGGGATCCTAACTTCATATATACGTATGTTGATGAGGGAAGCGGTCTGAATTGGCAGTGGCTGTGGCTGACCAGGGGTGCAATCTTGGGGACATAAAGAACAACTCAATGGAAACAATAACTCATCATGCAGTGAAAGGGGAACATGAATTGATGAGGGAGGAGGTCTGAATTGGCAGTGGCTGGCCAGGGGTGCAATCTTGGGGACATAAAGAGCAACTCAATGGAAACAACAACTCATCATGCAGTGAAAGGGGAACATGATACCCTCAGGACTGTTTGGAAAACAACCACAATTAAAACTGCCAGTGCTGTACCATAATGCCCTTATATGAAACAACAGTGCAATCATGATCTGAATGGCACGTATAGTTCTCCATATCTCAGGAAGGATACTTTAGACCAGGTTGGGAGGGGGGAGTGGAAAAAAAAGGAGCAACCAGAATTATCCAGAGTCTGAAATATGTCCTTTATGTGGGACTCAAAGAGGTGTCAAACTCAAATTCATCTTGGGCCGCATCAGCATTATGGTTGCCCTTAAAGTGCCGGTTGTATCTGTAAGACGATATAAATGTAAGAACGGGACTGGGCAATAGCAAGGACTAGGTGCTGTATGCCGCCCAAGCGGCTGTACTTTCTGACTCTTCGCTGCTTGGAATGCTGGGATTAGAAGTCCTGCTGGGCGGATTCTCAGCATCCTTGCGGAGCGTTACGGGTCACCGAGGAAGTGCCTGCATATTGTATATTGCACAGTAAGTAGCAGGCAACGCTGCGAGGGCCACATGAAATGGCCTGGTGGAGCGTTATGGGTCACCGAGGAAGCGCCTGCATATTGTATACTGCACAGTAAGTAGCAGGCACCGCTGCGAGGGCCACATGAAATGGCCTGGTAGGCTGGATATGGCCCACGGGTCTTCAGTTTGACACATGTGCTCCTAGAGAATGAAAAGTGGAAATGCTATCCTCCCCACATAGTGGTCTTCTACCTCAAATTTCCGGTCTCCAGTGGGTCACCGAGGAAGCGCCTGCATATTGTATACTGCACAGTAAGTAGCAGGCACCGCTGCGAGGGCCACATGAAATGGCCTGGTAGGCTGGATATGGCCCACGGGTCTTCAGTTTGACACATGTGCTCCTAGAGAATGAAAAGTGGAAATGCTATCCTCCCCACATAGTGGTCTTCTACCTCAAATTTCCGGTCTCCAGGCATTTGGTACATTATGAGGAAATCCCAGCTGGTCAATTTCCTCTTAACTGATAGTCTAAAATCCTGCATCTTAACTGTTACCAGCTGCAAACTCTTATAATCTGCCTCACATTTTTAATGACACTTCCGCTTTCTCTCAGCTGAATCTCCATAATAGTTTCATACTTCCTGAAATTTCACAGACTATTGCCAGGCCTCCATTTTTGCTTTTTAAACACTTTTTTCTTTTTGTCTATATGTATGTTTACATATGTACAAACACCATAAGACTACACAGTCACCATTACCTTATTCTATGCTGGTGCCATTTTACTTCCAGGCTGACAGAGACTCAGCTGTCAAACTTCATTAAGAATCAGAATTATACAAATCCATTCTCTTTTAAATAATAAAAAATATTATAGTCTACTACTAACCCCATTTTTTCATTGATGTTTACAATTCAGGTCATAGTATACAGTACATGTTTGCATCCTCAGAAAACTTTCTGTGCACAAGGTGGATAGTTTCATATTGGTTGCTCAAATTCCTAACGTGCTTTTATTTAAGGTTTCACCTCATTACAGAAACCTTAACCAATTTATTTCCCCACCTCTCATTTTATTGTGTGACAACCCACCCAAAGTGACCACTGGTCAGAAGGTGGTATAAAAACTGAACAAACAACTAAAATAATAATTGCTTGTATTGTCTATTGAAGAATTCCGGAATTTCTTGCCCTCCTTTTTTGACCTAGTTGGTCCTAGAAGCTGAAGCTCCAATACTTTGGCCATTTGGTTAAGAATGAGTACATCGATCTGAAGGGGAATAAGGGAACCTTGTTTAAATAGCCAGCACCCAGTCTAGAGAGGGCGGTTGACAGCCCCCATCGCTGTCCTTGCTTCACAGGGGACCCAACTCCGGGAAGGCAGTGGAAGACAGGAGGGCCTGGCGTGCTCTGGTCCGTGGGGTCACGAAGAGTCGGACACGACTTAACGACTAAACAACAAAGTTGGTCCTTATCATCTGCCTATGGATTTAGGGTGTTCACCCCCCACTGATCAACATGTCTAACCAATCATAGGAATTTTTCATAAATCTGGTTAAGAATGAGTCCGTCGATCTGAAGGGGAATAAGGGAACCTTGTTTAAATAGCCAGCACCCAGTCTAGAGAGGGCGGGTGACAGCCCCCGTCGCTGTCCTTGCTTCACAGGGCGGTTTTTGGTGCTACCCTGGAATCTTCAAAGGGAGACCCCACCACCACCACCACATTTCTTTGCACGTGAACCCCCCCCCCTCCGAGCCTTCAAAAGCGGTGAATAAATACATAAATTATTAAACATTTTCCACGGCGGTCACATTTCCTAGCCACCCACCTGCAGATCAGACCCTACCCTGTACCAAGCTATCAACAGGAGGAGCGAGCACGCCCCGGAGAGCGCCGCTACCATTCGAAGGCGGGACCCCCCGCGCCCGACCCCCATCGAGGCGCCCCAACCATCCAGCCCTCGGGACGGGCACGGCACGCCCCAGGACCGAGGAGATCTGCGCAGGCTCCGCTTCCGCGGGAGGGGGGGGAAATGGTTCGAGCAAAGCCTCCTGGGAGATGGAGTTTTTCCGTTCTCACAGAGCGCCGCGGAGGATGGGACGTAGAAACGACAACTCCCATGAAGCAGCAGGGCGGGAGGGGGCGGACCCTACAGGGAGGCCGCCGTAGAAGCGTCAGGTTGCGGAGGGCAGCTTTCGGATTTTGCTCGCTCTCCCCGGCGGGGGTCGATTGGGAAAGTTTCTGCACGAAGGTTGGAAGCCCAAGCGGGAAGGTAATTGCAGCCGGAGACACCGACGTGCGCCTGTTATTTTCCCCACGACTAGGGCTCACCGATCGTTAGATGTAAGGTACCTTCGTGCAATTAAATTTCCTTTTTCAAAATAAGGGGCGGGGTGCATGGTCCCTTGTGCGCCCGCTCGGGCTGCTTTCCTCCGCTTGCCCTTGCATAACAACCAGGAATTGCATTGCTCGTAATAATCATCATCATGGCCAATTCTTGAACTGGCCACGATTGTTCTTACTGGGGTTGATGAACTCCTTCTGCGTCGGGGCCGCTGACGTTGCTGCAAAGCGAGCGGGGGCGGGGGGAGGGAAAAGGATTCTTGCTCCAAAGTAGCTTACTGTGTAACGGGAAGAAGAGGAGGGAAAAAGATGAAGAGGGTGGGAGGAGAGGAACGAGAAAGAGGCAAGGATCCTCCCATATGTGGAGGAAGAGAGTGTACGGTATTACAGTACAGTATAGCCGCCTCCGGTCCTTTTACGGAGAAAATAAATAAATAAAAGTCTACTCGTTTTGGTTAATGGTCGGAAGGAGAAAACCGTTGGTTATAAACTTATACACGCGAAAAGTTTTACATAGGAACAAAGTTCGCCTAGATTTACTTGGAGGCTCCCAGTGCAGTCCTGAATAGGTTTGGTGAAAAATAAGCTCTATTGAGCAAGCCAGGCCAGGCCAAAGGCCAAAGCCCAAAAAGGCCAAAGGCCAAAGCCAACCGCCAAAAGCCACGTTAGACTCTTCCAAAGTTAGTGGGCAGTAAATGACAAATGGCTTAGTTGTAAGGAGGGTAATCAGGGCTTTCTGGTTGTGTTGTTTTGAATGAAAGGAAGTGATAGAAGAGAGAACTGAAGTTTGGAATTGTTCACAGAGCTTTAAGGGTTTTGTCCACCCCTGGGTGGAGCAGGGGTGGTGGTGGAATGAGAATTGAACTTGTTGTTCACATTTTGTGGAAAAGCTTCCAGGAGCAAAAATATAATTGCCAAGTGGTTTGAACATTGAATAATTGTTGGACTTCTCTGTGGGTACCCAGTGTGGGTAATGGACTAGGACTTGGGAGACCTGGATTTTATTTCATACCCTGGGGTGTGTGGAACGGTTAAAACCATTCTTTAAATATCTGACCTTGAAAACCCTATTAAGGTAGCTATAAGTCAATTCTGACTTGATGGGCCCGTAACAAGGATTTCACTCCCCTCTGCCAGTTGCTCTGATAGAAGTCCAGAAAAGCGGACTTCCGGCTTGACACCGCAACGAGACAGCAGCAGGAGGACAGAGCTCTGTCCCCTGGGCTGAAATTCTGACCTGCTTGGGACACCAAACGGTGTCGGAACCACCCTGGAGGGGTGGTGAACTGGGGGGGGGAAGCCTGTTGATCACGAGGGGGGGCAGCGGCCACCCCGTTCGATCCAGGAAACTCCCTAATCAGCCAACGGGCAGAAACAAGCAATCTTTGCTTGCCAAGTCGTCGGTAGCCGACTAATGAGAACAACAATCAAGCGATATAACATCAACGTTACTACGGGTGAGATAACGAATTGCTTCTGATTACCCCTGGACAATACAATTCCTATTTATAAGGGAAAGAACCTTCTATCACTCTCATGAATTATTAGCGGCAGATAATCTGGAGAGAGGATAGTTGATATGAAAAAATATTATGAAGATTAATTGGAATTAACTACTGTACTCATTCAAATACATTTAAATACTTTAAGAACATTATAATTTGGGAATTTTCTCATAAGTTATTATTAGACAAGTTTCGATGCATGTTCCGACTCTTGTTTTGTCTACCTGAACTCTTTTGGCGTAACGCCTAGAAACACTGACCTTGAACATTCCTGTTCATCTCCCTTTGATTTTTTTATGCTCGGCTGGATAAAATTAACCCTAAAGTGTTGTTTTCTTTAAACTGCACCTTGGCCCAAAGTAAATCTTTTGGAACTATTTCCAAAGACTTGGAATTTTAGTTTTTGTCGATGCAGAAATGTGGAAATTAGGCTACCAGGACATGGCTATAAACACAGAATTGAACTATAAGGCTTGGCACTTCTGAATTTTGGTCCAGGCCTACTTAGCCAAACTGACTAGCTGGCATAAACCCGTGGAAACTAGGCCATCTGGCCACGGATACAACTACTGCATTCTACATTGAATTGGACTGTGAGACTTGGGGACCTTGAACCTTGGCTTAAGCTGGTGGGTATCTGGA